AGATCCCTCTTACCATGGCGAGTAACATCACAGTTTTCAAAAGTGAGTATGATTGAGGCATAGGATTAGTCCACACCCAAATGTTGATTGTCCCCAAATGAATTATCAACTAGTCAACCCCTTTGAGCCTTATGACTTTGGAGGTCGTTGTCATGTTAGGAGCTTTTTGCTTGTGACCATAATGGTGTTAAGAGAACGAGACCCCCCCCCATCCTTTCTTTGTGTCTCTACATGTGTCTTCCTTGTGTACCGGAGCTCTCGCTTTTGAGTTCCATTGAGGTTCTACATAGGAGGATTGTGTGCGGTTCTTGCTAGGATCGAAAGTGAAAAGAAGAGTAGTGTTGGAGTGAGTTCTTTAAAAGATGGCATTGATCGTTAAAAGTAGTGTGGCAAATTTTTAACTCTCTAGTACCCTCCTCAAAAAGAAAAGGAAAAGAAAAGGAAAGGAAAGTACAAAGAAAAAGAAAGAGAAACGAAAAAGAGGTAATAAAATGGGGTAAATAAAGTAGAGAGTGCCACAAGGAATCAAGGAGTATGCTCTAGGTAAGGTTTCTTGGAAAACAAGCCATTGAAACCTCCAACTTATCTTAGAACTCCTTCACTACCAAATCAAAGTGTGATAGCAAGAGTGGACCGTGGAAGAGTGCTTAAGGGAAGTTCATGATGGGTGATAGTTGGAAGGGAGAAGCAAGATTTTTGGCCGATGCTAGTGGTCGTTGTTTGTAAGGAAGGTTCTTAGTCGAAACCATAGAACCATCGATTTTAGGGTGAAGATGTAGGACCTCATGATGTGATTGCCACCACCCAAAAAGCCTTTTTCCCATGTCCAAGCCAATCGCCATTCATTTGAACCCGTGTCTAAGACCTCCGGACAATCTAGTGATGACAACCATTTTCTGAACTCTAGCATTTAGAGGTTGCCGCCACGGTGTTGAGACGATAGGGTCGAGAGTTTATGATTGTGCACATTTTTTGCACCAAAAGGTCTCGACCCCACTGGTCAAGAGAGTGAGTGATTCATTCTTGTTTTGTATGTCATATCATACCCCAGTGATGACCTTTGTTGCCCATCCGTTTGTTCCTTGGACTTGAACTCTATGCATGGTTAGTTGTGGTTGGTAAGTGATCTTGTTGAAACTTACATTGATTCATGAACAAGGTAAGAACTTTTCATTTGCCCATTTCTAGTATCCTCGAATGTCATTTGTGGTGGATGTCGGTATTGCTTGCAACGGTCCTTGTGTTAATTGCCAATAGCCATTTGAGATTCGACACTTTTTTCCCTTTGAATTGTCCCCAAAGCACTTTGATAGGTTGAGTTTTTACCTTGTGTGAAATGGTTTGCTTGGGGACAAGCAAACGTCTAAGTGTGGGGGAGTGATTCAGGCCTAATTGCACACATTTTATCCCTGTTTCCCTTGGGCGTTTGTAGCATTTGAACTCCTAAAAGGGTGGTTTTACGCTAGGTTTTATGCGTTTTAGTGTGTTTCAGGAACCAACAGGTGAAACCAGCCCCGGAGTCGAAAGTTGGACGAAAAGAGGCGAAGACCGGGCAAAGAGGGTGATCCAGGCGGAGTTCATGGGTTAGCATTGGAGTTCATGGTCCAATATGGCCGTGAACTGAAGCCCAAAAGCCTCAACTGCGATGCGTCCAGGGAGAAATCCGCAGTTACTACCGCTAGACGAGTTCACGGTCAACAAGACCATGAAGATTGAGGCCAAACCGTGAACTCCTGATGGCGAAGCGGTGTATTTCGACATCGCGCTCTGTGTTCACGGACGCGTTGAAGAGTTCACGTCCGTGAACTGAGCCCGATCCTGGTATATAATGTGAGCTGAAAGGAAGAGAGAGGGGGAGCCCAAGAGTGAGAAAGTGTCTTCTTCAGATTTTAGAGAGAAAAAGAAAGAACCAAGGAATAAAGAAGGCTAGGGTTTGCTCCAACTGGTGGATTGGGAAGATTCTCCCCCAGAGAAGATCAACACAATCTCAAAGGAGATTGGAGGCATCACCATGATGGTTGCTACCTCTTCCTCTTGTGTTCTTCCCCTTTCTAGCATGGAGTAGTTTCCTTTTTCACTTGGGTGTTGTGAAACCCTAACTATTTGCCATGTAGTTGTTGTGTGAATTGAATGATTGTTTATAGGTGTTGTTTAATTCAATGATTGATGTATTTTTCATGTTGATTGTGCATGTTTGTGCTTAGCAATCCAATTGGCCATTCTAACCTAGATTAGAGGGAAAACCCCCTTTCAAGAGAGGCTCAATTGAGTTGGGATTCCTTGGGATTTTTAAGCCACCTATCTAGGTTAATGTAGGCAAACCTCTATGTTGAATTAAGCAATTTGGTTAATTGCGATTAAGCTGACCAACCATTGGATTGAGTGAGAGAGTAAGTCAACCATCAAGTTCCTTAACCAAGAGGGCTACTTGAGTAGCCTATGATGTATCCCTTGGTTTGGCAAACGAGAGTGTGGTCTACGACCATAGTTGTGTTTCCTAGCGATTCGCGATCACCATGCCCGTAACAATTAGTTAAATTCCTCGTGCAATGTAGTAATTAGGAGGAAGCGACACCCGAGTGATCCTTCTCATATAGAGCTTTTGAAACCATTTACTTTTGTATTAATTTACTTTAATTAGCAAACTTTTCAACCAAAACTGATTCACTAGATAATGTTTCAAATAATTGAAGTAGGGGTACACAAACCGGCCCGAGTCGATATTTAAACATACTTGCCCTGTATTGCACCCTACTAAGGTTTATACTTGGACCTTAGGCGGGAATTAATTGTGATACTCGGTACGAGTCACTTAGTGATGTTTCTGGTTTTCTTCGTGATATTTATGGTGTACACTAGGTGGTTTCAGGTTTGCTTTAAAACATTTGTGTATTCTTTAAAAACAAAAATTCCAATACCCACTCTTTCATACCAATCACAAGTAGTCATCCCACTCACCATTCTCATCCATCATCATCTCTTTACTCTTCTCCACCCACCATGACCCAAAAATACACTAATATTTTAAACACTACCTTGCCAATCTCATTTTCACATTCATCTCGTATTCCCCTTCTTCTCCGTTACACCCCACCAGCATATGCAGGATCCCCTAGAGATTGTGCAGTCCCCTTTATTCGCCGGCTCCTTCAAGTACCACAAGTGAAGAAACGCCACTCAACTCTATGAAAATCATTCCCAACCAAAACCTTCTCGTAACTCCCATCCAAAACCAAACCAAATTCACCCTCTCGTCGTCCCCAATCATCAAAGCAGATCCACCGCGATAACAACCGGATGAAAAAGTGAAGGAATGAGAAATCTCCAGTCGAAACTTCACTTTCCCGGAGAAACACTCCCAAAAATCTCTCGCGCCGCCGTTATGAAATCATTCCCCTACAGATTGTGGATTCCCCTTTATTCGTCGGCTCCTTCAAGTACCACAAGTGAAGAAACGCCGCTCAACTCTATGAAAATCATTCCCAACCAAAACCTTCTCGTAACTCCCATCCAAAACCAAACCAAATTCACCCTCTCGTCGTCCCCAATCATCAAAGCAGATCCACCGCGATCACAACCGGATGAAAGAGTGAAGGAATGAGAAATCTCCAGTCGAAACTTCACTTTCCCGGAGAAACACTTCCAAAAATCTCGCGCGCCGCCGTTATGAAATCCGGAACCACCTTCCCGCTGAGGTCCCGGCAAAATCTTCTTCAATTCCCTGACCACCAAATCTGAAATCCAGATCCAGAAGTTGGAGAGGCAGTCATGAAGGGCCGAGGATGTGCGGCCATCGGAGCTATAATCGGCAGAGAGTGGGGGAGCAAAGTTTAATTCGTTGCTTTTTGGATTTTAATTCAATTTTGTGATATTTTGTGATATTTTGTCAAATTACCCTTTTCCCCTGTTGTTACTATAACAACAATTCTAGTGTTGTTATACCATCTACACCTGTCTAGTTTCTTCAAAAGCTTATATGGCATGACATTAATATTTGCTCCTAAATCCGCCAAGGATTTGTCTATATGACATGTTCCAATGCAAAGGGGATAATGAAGCTAACTGGATCTTGTTGCTTTTTGTGCAACTTGTTTTGGATGATGGTCGACTCCTCGCCCAAAGTGACTTAGGCGAGTTCTTCAAATTTTCACTTCTTTGCAAGAAGCCCCTTGAGAAACTTCGCATACCTCGACATATACGTCATTGCTTCCAAGAAGGGATCGTGATATTGAGCTTCTTGAGAATCTCCATTAACTTGCCACACTCCGGCTCTAAATGGCCTTTGTGCACTCTTGTAAGGAAAGGGAGTGGATGTTTGTACTCAGCCACAAAAGGTGGCGTCGACGGTGCCTTCTTAGCCTCTTCACCCTCTCTTTCCGTAGGTTCTTTGTTCATTAACCTTTGGAGGGGATTCCTCTTCTTAATTTACTTCTTTAGTCGCAACCTCTTGAGTTACCACGCTCCTTAGTACAATAGCGTTCACTCTGGCACTTTGATCCTTAAGGTTGGCAATGGTTTGGAAAGAGGTAAGGCTCCTTTAGGTCTCTCAGTGAGGATCCCAACAAGATTGCGGATTTGAGTCTCTATGTTTTGAAGGCTCACTTGATGACTTCTAAAACCCGCCTCAACCGAAGTAAACATGTTTGTTGCAACTTCCATGAATTGCTCAATCTTCTTAAACTTCTGAGAACTTGTACTCCCAAAAGTGGTGACCGGGTCTTTAAGTTTTGAAACCTTATCGAGTTGTTGTTGTTGGTACCCTTATCCAACTTGTGGTTAAAATTTTTGTTGTTGAAAGTGCAAGCAATCAAGCCTTGAAATTCTTGCCTAATTTGAATGAAATGATGTCTTGGTTGATAATTCCTCTTTGGTCCTTGAAAATCGAGTGGAAAATTGGATTGGTTTGTGAATACCATGCATAATTGGGATGATTGTGTGAGCCCGGATTATAGGTAATGCTATAAGGATTGTTCTTGTTGCCTCCCCTAGCATTAGCAATGAAGTTCACCCGTTTCTAGTTTTTAGTTTCTTGTTGGATCCAGCCGGCCCAAGGAACCCATTACACCAAACGCGGCCCATCACTTTGCTCTAAGCCTCTAACCCTTTGGAAAGGAAGTTGTTCCCCACCTTATCCACCTCCCTTCCCCAAACAAACAGCATATGCTCCTCTGACCTCTACAATGGATCCTCTTCAATTCTCCACCACCCAGAAACTCACCACCATCCCCACCCCCACCCCCGGCAGCACAGGCAAAAACCTCCATTGAAAGGAGCAACATATAACTCCAATTTCTCCAGGTCCCCATTCCATGGCGTCCGCGGCCACAAGACCCACCTTCACCTTCCACCTCACGACATCCCGTTCCCACTCAAAACCCACAACCAAATGCCATTTCCCCAAACTAAGACCACCGTCCATTTCCCTCCACAAGCCTTCCCATTTCGCCATCTCCTCCATTGATGTCTCCAAGGAAGACAAACCGCCGACCTCTGAACCCGCCGCCCAGGCCAGCGAACCAGTGGCCGAGCTATCATCAGAAACGGAGGCCGGGCAGCAATTCGATTTCGACCAGCGGAGGCTGGAGGAGAAGTTTGCAGTGCTGAACACGGGGATCTACGAGTGCAGGTCGTGCGGGTACAAGTTCGACGAGGCGGTCGGCGACCCGTCGTACCCGGTTCCACCGGGCTTGCCGTTCGAGCAGCTCCCGGCGGACTGGAGGTGCCCGACCTGCGGAGCTGCCCGGAGCTTCTTCCAGAGCAAGAGCGTGGAGATCGCCGGGTTTGCCGAGAACCAGCAGTATGGGCTGGGAGGGAACGCGCTCACTTCTGGGCAGAAGGCCATTTTGATATACGGGAGTTTGCTGCTCTTCTTTGCTCTCTTCTTGGGCGGCTACTTCCTGCAATGATAGTGCTATGTATCAATGGCGGCATCTCAACTGTTCGTTTTTGGGCTTCTTAATCATCATGGCAACTGCCTGTTTGCTTCTATTACTATACCATATATATATGTGTCTGCCTTTCAATGAGCATTGTATAGAATACACGGTTTGGTGTACTACTATCGCAGGATTCTTCTAGCTAGCTTCATTTTTCTGATTTCAGCAATGGAAATGGGAGGACATAGAGAATATACCAGAATGCCAATCAATTCAGCGCTAGAGTTGAATCTCCTCGACGTGAATCTCATAGAAAATCCCTTCGGACGATGATTGGATGACCTTCACAATCAAGTCGAGCTGTCAGGACCAAGGGGCCTCGATATCATTAACCCTGTTAGCCAACATCTTGCATTTTCTTGCCAAAAGCGAGCTTGATAGTCTCTTATGGTTTAGCCCTCTGCAACATTTCCGTCGAGCAAAACAAACCATCATCGTTTCCAGTTTCCACTCACAAGTTGTATGATGACATCGGCAACAAACACCACCATTGACCATACCAACACCGCCCTAATGAGAATGGTTTAGTCTTTCACAACAATTCCTGACGAGCAAAATAACCATCATCATTTTGGCTCCACAATGTACACAATCCCACCATATTGATATACCGACTACTGGGAGTCTGCTGAAAAACAATCTATTGCAGTGAATGTTTAAGGGCGGATTCACCGGACAAAGAACCAGGATCAAACTCCATTCTGACTAGTCATAACTCATTCCCTCGCATACCGACTAGACCAGACCTGTCATCATAACTTTGTAACATAATCAGGTCACATTCTACTACCCTCGCTCCAGCATGATACATACCCAAGAATAGCAAGAGCTTGAGTTTATTTCTGTTACCTCCCTTGTGCAGCATCAGAGTCAGAGGTCGTCCCCTCTTTCCAGGTTTTAACAACCTTGGCTTCCACCTGCTGAACTTATCACATTTACAACAGTCATACAGCTCAGAAGTTACCCAAAAATTAATTTTCTTTTTCTTTTTGAAATGGAAATGACGGTCTTGATAGAAATTGTTTCAGTCTTTGGATAACGAAAACAGAGGAATTGCAACAAATGATATAACACCAATGACAAGGATACAAAGAAGATAATTACAACTAACCCTGAAACCTGCCCAACTAACTGACTCTTCCCCTGTATAGAACTCCATAAGGAAGAACCGAGATTTTCAACCCATAACGAGAACTAATAAATAACCCCAGCATCACAACAACTCTACTTGTATACACTTTTTCCCTAAAAGCTGCGACATCTTTTAGGTAAGCCACTTTCATAAATTAGAACCTTGGCCGAAACATCTAACGGCCGACTTTGGTGGAGATGTTACAACACCTTGGACTGAGAGAGAACATGTTTTATAAGTTACGAATCCCGCTCTGCAATGCTACTGGTGGTTTGGTTCAGCTACAGCGTTTGAAGCTTCTGGAGCTGCCTGTCTTGATCAGATAAACAGGTTTCACCTGCTGCTTCTCATTCACCCTTCTCGTGGCTGTTCTTATCTGAAATAAGTGTCCGTCTCTCCATCTGGTATGCTATTGATCCACTTGGTAGGCGGTGAAGGGATGGGACCTGTGGTGGCTTGCTCGAACTGGTGGTTCAAATTCTGTGTAAATCCCGAATTAGGCCTCCGCTGTAACAACACTGGAGGTGGCCCAACTCGGCTGTTTCCTTCATCTAGTGTCAGAGCGGACATTCCCATCCTCAAGTCACTGGGTTTTTCGTGGCTCTGTAGTACCCTCTCCGGCGGCCTAAAGTTGTGCCGAGGTCCTTGGACACCATTCATTGGGAAAGGATATCGAGGCCCGCCCTGTTGGTAGTTATTGTTGCTGTTGTAGTGTCCGTAACCGTAGTTTTGAGCATCACCATAGCCGCCTCTACCATAACGAGGAGCAGGCATTCTGCTTCTGTTGGAGATATGATTGTTACCAGCACTGTTAGTATATAGAGGCTGATCAAGCAACCCTCCATTGTTTGACCTGATGTTAAGAGTGTTTTTAACAAGACGATGAGCTGCTTCACCCAATTGTGGACCGACAATCGCCCCAGATAATTGACGCCTGCTCATAAAAAATTAAGCATTGCTTTTAGCTAATGACTACAGTAAGTCAATAACCCAACAATTTATGGAGTTTTACTGAAAGAGAAATGGACAAAATTAGAAATTTTAATCATGAAGTAAAGTGGTAAATGATGTACAATTTAAAATACAATTTAGAAGTTGAAATGATGTATTCGATTAAGAAAGTTTTGTTATTTGATCTACTGGAGTATTTGGGTATGCATTCCAAGATCCGTTACCTCTCTCTGCCTTGTTGACGCCGTCCACTGTTGTCTTCGTGCCATAGTATGGGGAATGGTTTGATATCATATCCCTTCACAATCTGCAGTTATATAAAACAAATTTGGAGTGAAACGATTAGCAAAGCACACCATACAGATACAGTGACAAGACATCCTAAGGGGAGCCCAAATCAAACAATAGCTACGCCAAGGAAATCCAGCTCCATTTTTAATTCCATGACCTATTCCCCATATTCAAACAGAGAATCGTACAGTGAAAATAAACTAATAGAAAAAACTTGTTCGAGAGCACAAGGAGTATTTCCAATCAAGTTGAAGTTAGAACACATTATGAACGCCCCGAGTCACCAAAGGTCAAACCCTAATGAGAGAAATGAGGGTGGAAGTTCAAATAAAAGTTCCAGACTTTCTATGCAATCAGTATTCAGGAAAGATAGATGCATACATCCTTCTCCTAAAGACAGACAAAATAGCAATTACAAGTATCAAGATCTTACAAACCTTTGCAGGAAATTTTAAACCATTTGGAGGTTCTGGGATGTGTCTATGGCTAACAGGAGAAAGATATGTGATATTTCTGCAAAGAAGTTACAGTAAGAAAGATATAGAAGAGATATAGTAGTTTCCTATAGGAAAACCAGGAAGGTAAACTTACAAAACTTGGTTATACTCTATATGTGGCAATCCAATAACAGGGGATGGAACCAAGGTTCTGTGCACATTCCTATCACTCAAGCCGATATACCCATTCATCCCACTGCTGCAAAATACAATACTTAGTTACAGCGAGCACATCATTTAGGAAGGCAATGAAATATTACAAAATCAATCAATATCACAAACAAACCTAGCATTTGGGTCGATTGGCCAAAGAAATCTTGCATAAGGTGGTAATGGATAGTTATGATGGTAGTACGTGACAATTTGCTGAGCTACAGGATGAACAGGATGGACATATAGCAAATCAAGCATCACACTGTTGCGAGCACGCTCCTCCTCCTACGCATGTCAAATACATTACTTATCACTCTCTGTTAAGACAGTGATGACTTGCTATTGCAGAGAGCATCATATATTAAACCAGAGACCATCAGGGATGGTTCAGAAAACGAAGGTTACATTTGTTTCATCTTAATTTTTACATCCTGGAACTTGAGTTGAAAAAATAGCTCAAATAAATTTAGTTCTTATGCCGAAACCTAAAAATTCAAAGAAATTAACCTACAAAAAACTACACTCATTAACGAGGAAAAATTCCAGCTTGCCGTCTCAAAGAAATTACGTGCAAAGTTAGGATATACGCTAAATAAATCTAATCCCATCCACTCCACTTTCAGAATACCGTGCTACATCCTACTTCCACTCTTTCTCCTAAACTGTAACTTTTAGCTCCTAAGGTCTTAGATACAACAAAGACCCAAAAACAGCTAAAACCTAAGAAGGCATCTTTAGAAGATTCATGGTCATCACACAACCAACTCGGGTCAGTGCAAATATTTCCAGAAGTCTTTATATATGATAGATCTCAAAAGTCTTATTCAACTACTAACATGCTGTCATTCACAGTTCCACATGTGCTCCGCGGAATCCTATGTTCGACAAACATCAGTGATGTGATGCTAAGCAAAGAGTAATATGCATTCATACTCCACTAGGTTCTTTAAATACTTCTATCAATGAAAAGAGTTTTGAGGGAGAGAGGGGAGTGCAAACCGTTAGTGTACTCTCAAGCTTCTTTGTTTGTGATAATAATTTCCTCTCGTCGATGAATGGCAATTTAGCAACACCCTGTAAAAGACCAGAAAGTATAAAGATAAGCTTAACTCCCAATCACTGACAAATTTCGAATGTCGGCTATATAATTGAAGATAATTCACCTGCCAGGCAAAGCGTTTACCATTCATATCAATGTCGAAATCTGTCCACATGAAGAAGAAAAACAGAGTTGGTACTACTAGGAACATGGCTAGAATGATAAAAACATAGACATGGTTGTCCATCGAGTTAAAATTACCAGAAGGGAAGAATGTTTGTAATGGTGATGAGGGATCTGTCATCAGTTTTCTGTACTCTTCGGGTAAAGCATTAGAACTGCAGCAAACCACATGGCCAGCATCAGCTATGGAAAGAAAGCACAAAAGAAGACCATTTAACTCCAGGAGAAGAAGAAAAACCTTGCGGCTGGCAGGGTCCCCATGAGCTGATCAAAGGGCCTAAATGGCTCGCCTAAAAAGAAAGTTATCTCCAACTCGGTAAGATCTGTAAGGTCTGAGGCAAATGGAGCATAATGGTACGGATAAAACCTGCCATAACAATCAGATAGTTATGCATCTTGTAAACCGAAGTGTTGCTTAAGCTGGCAAAAACGAAAAGCATACACTTAAAGCACAGTTCAAAGAGCGAGTAAGCTGCTACAAGGATGGTGCCCTAGAAGAAACCCTATGGTTCATGAAGACCTATCTTCTGGTAGCCATACACATGGAAAACTCATCAAGGTATTTTGGTTTTTCTATCTTCAAATTATTTTGGACTTAACAAGCGCAACACTTGTGCGTGCATCAAATAGAGACCCCGGTTGGTTTAACCATTATAAGAAGCATATAGCAGTTTACTTCGGTCGCAATAACTGACCATTGCCACGAGCAAACACCTTGGTAGTAGTACCGGCATACCCAACATAACCCTTCAACATATTTTAGAACCTGCCAAGCACACAAATCGAAGATTGTAACAAAAATTCAGTAGAAGAGAACCAATAGAAGGATGAGAAAAGACTTGGAAGTCCAGAAAGCAAATTACAGTATCTCAATCCACAGTCGCATAGACAAATATAGCAGATACTGCAAGGATATTGAGTCACCGAATAAAAGTCAAAGGTTCGAAGGATCAAATTTGGAAAGGAACTTACTAAATCTTTTCTCACTTTGTCTAGCTCCTCCGGAGTTGATGCATCAAATTTTTCAGCATAATATCTTTCTTTGTATCCAACCTCCCCAAGTTTAACCTGACAGAAATAAATGTTAGCATATTTCTACAAGCACTAAATGAGTCCAGCGACAGAGAAGTTCAAGCCAATGTAACTTCAAGTGGCTTTAGGTGGAGTGAAGCATCCATTCAATCGCACGAAAAAAGACACAATGCCTCCACAGCAGTTGAAAATAAACTGAACCATACACATAGGAAAAACAAAGAGCCATCCAAGAGCAATATTGTGAAGTTTGAAAACAAGCAACAGGACTGCAATTGGATGACACACATACGAAAACCTGAGCTGGCAATGAAATCCCTTAAAACTGTCAGTCACAATAAAGAAGGTTAAAATGAAGGAAGTGGTAGCCAGTAGGTAATGCAGGAATATCAGTTGCTACATATGTTGTCATGGAAGACAAGAAACATAAGCAACTGCCTGTGACTGTGATGTGTCTAAGGCTAATCTATAATTCTTTCTTAAGAAATAGGGGGCCTTCAATAGATGGGATGGAGGAAGAGATATGCCAGGCCATTCAGTGATCAAGTCCAATAGGTTTGGCGCCACAACTTGAAGTTGAAAACCCTTAGAAATCACAATCAGTCTTTTGAAGTCTGGTAATTTCGTATTGGAAATCACAATCAGTCTTTTGAAATCCCTTAAAACTCTCAGTCACAAATAAAGAAGGTTAAAATGAAGAAAGCGGTAGCCAGTAGGTAATGCAGGAATATCAGTTGCTACATAAGTTTTCATGGAAGACAAGAAACACAAGCACCCGCCTGTGACTGTGATGTGTCTAAGGCTAATCTATACTTCTTTCTTAAGAAATAGGGAGCCTTCAATAGATGGGATGGAGGAAGAGATATGCCAGGCCAGTCAGTGATCAAGTCCAATAGGTTTGGCGCCACAACTTGAAGTTGAAAACCGTTAGAAATCACAATCAGTCTTTTGAAGTCTGGTCATTTCGTATCAAGATATGATAAGTAAAAATCTGAACCACAAAACCTTTTACACTGGATCTGAAAGCATTTAAAAAATATCTTACAAATACTAGGGCAGGGCCAGGATTGATCTTATAATCCAAACCTTACAATTCCCTTCAGCTCGTGTAGCTAAAAAATAAAGAAGCTGCTTAAAAAGCATTCTCAAAGCAGTTTTATTATCAAGTGAAGCATAAGCTCAAAACCATTATTTCATCTAACCTTCAAAAAGAAATGCAGAACTCAATAAAATGTATTGGATGTACTACAAGATGTAATCCATATACGAATTTCGCAATGACGTCATGTGCATACACTAGACAAGAAACTCCTGCATCACCTACTCATCTGAAAGGCCTCTGTCTATTTGCAGGTTGCTAACTGTTCTTCAATACCTCTATCGTATAGCAGAAACAAGTTATTCAAGATCTAATTTTAATAATGAAGATTCGAGTCAACGATATAATAGTTAACCTTGTCTGTCGCAGATGCTGGAGTCGGAGGTTGTTCCCTTTTTGCTCTGTACCTCATTTCCTCGTTATTCTCCATAGCCTGAAACAAGTTGGAAACCAATTATTAAAGGACCTGAATAAAAAAATTACCTTTCCATTTCCCTCTCATTTTTGTTTTTCCAAATTTAGGTTTGGAAAGGTGGTAAGCAAAATCTAGTCATTTCATACAAAGATCTGGTTCATTTCATGGTACAGTATCTAATAAAAGAAAGTTCAGCATGGTGAAGGAAAGCTACCTGCTGTATTCGAGTCCTCTTCTGGAAAATCTGTTCTTCATGAACAGCAACGGACTGGATAAAATGCTGAACTCGATCCAGAAAAACCTGAACATGTAGAATGATGGCTTGAGCGGGCCAACTTACGTCATTAATCCTAACGATCTAACAGATCTTGTGACACAAATTTATCACGAGAAACAATAGCAATATGTAGGCATAACATAAATAAACATATGACTAGAGAAAGAAGTGAAGAGATTTCACTCTAATTTGTCCACCATTTCAGTAGAATATGGAATAAAAGGAACAAGCCAGTTTAGCATCATACATAACTCCCACGAGCTCTAGGACGGCCACAGATAACATACAACTTGAGCCTAAATGTAAGATAGGTTGTACTTATCGACCTGGAATTGAAGAGAGAATATTCATCCCCTGACCTGATTGACTTTTATGAGACAAGACTTTTCTACTCTCACTCCATTTTCCAATAAGTTACTCACTTACCCATCATATAGATAAGAGTAAGAAAAATTGACAGGTCATTTATACAATCAGATCACTGGACATGTATCTTTAAGAATTCTAGTTTATTTGAATAGCTCATACATTAGCCTCTACAACTTGTAATGACTTCCTCACACTAATACCTCCAATGAAGTTGGGAGAAACTAGATATCCAGTTACAGAAACATCAGTATGCAATTCAGAATAATTCACATGCATTCAAATGAGGGCATTAAGTTGCATCCAGACATCAACATATATGTACTCTACATTATATAAAACTGGAAATTACCTCACCCGCATCAGTAAGATAACCACCCATTGCAGAGAATTCCCTTCGGTAAACATGCATAAGCAAAGTTATAGCACCCTGAAAAAATAGGAGCTTTTAGCAAGCATGATTGTGTGTTTTTTTTTTTTTTTTTCCTTTTTCCTTTGGGGTTGATTGAAAGATGCATAAAGTAGAAAAAATGCAAGGACGCATTACATATAGGATCAAGAGAATAACCCAAACGAATATCATCAAGAAGCATCACAAAAGTATCGAAATCATGAGCTGGGATAAGACAGAGGAAACCACTTCCCACACTATTCATGATCATGGCACAAGTATATTTGGAAACATGAATCGGGAAAGACAAGCAGAACAAAAGATTTGATGTTTTAACATCATAACATACCTCCCTGATTTCTAAAGTTGGCATGTGTGGAAGGAAGTCATTGCCAACAAAGAAACACAGGAATACAAAATCGTCCACAATGCGCTCAAAGTTGATTGTAAATGGAGGATTTGGAATTTCCAAATCATATTCCAAATATTCCCGTAAGATCCAGATATTGAGGAACTGTTGCAACAATTACTCAAGTTAGTAACATCAAAAGAAGCATAATAACTGAAAAATGTTTTGCCCTGCACAGTATCCTTCTCCAACCTGATACTTTTTCTTGTGGATTGGAATATCATTTTCCACATTCCAGTCTAGAGGATCACCTCCAGCCTTACTGCGACATTCAGCAGCAAGATGACCAGCTTGACCACATTGAAAACATTTATCCTGCTGTCCAGAAAATGTTACCATCTGCACCATCAATGCCAAAAAGTTAGACAAGCTAAGGGCATGGAAAATATACAATGTGTGCAAATATTTCAAGAGATTGAACCTCTCTTAGTATTGAAAAATGAATCTCATGCGTAGCTAAAGAAAGCATGATCAAATCCGCGTCCTGATAGAAATGAAACAAAGTTGTGGTCAACACATATATCAATCAATTAATGGAACTACAAGGGTCTAAGGAACAAATATTGAGTACGAAACTTACCAAGCCATACAGACAATGCCGTGTGTTTGGGTTAAAGCCAGGAAGGTGACGCTGTGATCTAATATATGACATGATTTTGTGCTCTCCTTCACCAGGAACATTTGCATCCGAAAGAAGAACCTTCAAAGAGCCAACCAGTGCAGCTCAATCAATAGGTTCAAACAGAAAAGAATATCTTGGAAACCAAATGTGATGAAAAATAAAAGATATGAAGGTAATACTCGACACTGAAGGATCTCAAAGGGACCAAGGCAAAGGAAGAACAATCACACCTTCATATACTGCCACCCAGGATTATGGTTCAGCCTAGATTGTATATAGTACTGAAGTGCAATTGATAGTACTGCCATGAACGGAGTGCCCGGAGTGATGACATTAGAGTCTGATGTTTCAGGTTTTTCTTTAGGAGGCAAGAGTCTCCCTTGTGCCTCAAATTCTGTCCTCAATCTTTCTTCTTCAGCTGAAGCTTCAGCAGCATCTTTGGCAGCTCTAAAGCGACGAGATCGCTGTTGGTTCATTTTAGCTCTTGGAGCAACCCCATCTATCAAATCCAGAATGAAATCAACTAATACAGCCCTAACTAGCAATAAACAGAAAGGTGATGTGACAGTTACCTATTGCCATATAGAGAATCTTCCTCGGGCGAACCAAAGAAACTATATGGTCAATGTAATCAAATATTGACCGGAACACATCATCGTATGTAGCCGGTGCTGGCTGTGAGAGAAAGCATAGTTATATAGTATTAGGATACACCACCTAATAGAATTCTTTCAAAGCAAGAAAACTGCAATTACAGTAAAGGAAGTCAACACAGAATCTCCAAGTCAATGCCCTTCAGAATAAAGGAGCAATCAAACTATCACAGCAAACAAGAACAACTAGCGTTTGCACCCATTTCAATTCTTATGACAGCTAAAGTTGACCGCCCTGTAGCAATGACATTTATACTCACAGACCCCAGCCCCCAACTCCTCTCTCGATATCTTTTCCTTAATAACCCGACCCAAAATCAATACTTATAGGATCTGAAGGCTAAACACCAAAAACTTCAGACAAAGCGTAGAACATGCATTCCTCACTTGAGAATCTTCTTCTCTTGCAACTAGACATATACCAACTCATCAATTCATGCTGATTGGAAATGAACTCATTCCCATTGTATAATCACTCTGATACAGCTCTGGTGCAATCTGTCACTGAAAAAATAAACAAAAACATTCCTTATAGAGCATATTACTCTTTATCCCCCCCCCCCCCCCCCCAAATGTTTAACTCCATTCACAATCACACCTCAACCTCACAAAGAACACGCTAACAAGACACCTTCTCAACAAACTCAGCAGCTAAAACCAGCTTAACCATCCCGAACTTCACAAAGAAAAGCTATATGCAACACTCCACCAATTCTCATTCCGGACAGGAATCGAAAATCCAGGGGGACACATGGTCTACTAGTAATTTTGCAAGCCCTACATTCAGGGGGGAAGAAGGGGAAACAAAAAGCATACCCTGCCTTCGGGATGGAAGCAAGGGTGAATGATTCCATTCATGTCCAAGTACAGATTGTCGAACTCCATGCCGTTAGGGTTAGGTCTGGAGACGTCAACATGCCTAGGGATGCCACTCGCGTCCGCCTGCGGCTCCTCCTCCACGACATCGGCAATTGCAAGCGGGTAGCGGTCCGCGAGCCACCTGTAGAACGCCGGCACTCCCATGGCTCAGACGAAGATACTTAACGGCAAAAAGCGGGTCGGTCTCCCGAAGGCGAGATCACGATTTGTTGAGAGATGCTTATCTGTAAGCGGAAGTCAAATTGCTGAAGAAAGCGAAAACGAAGACAACATGTTGTTGAATAGAGAGAAAGCGGAGGAGTTCCAGATCTGCGCGAGTGGGAAGGTCGGGTCGGGGCCCCGGACTCGGATTGGTTCGAATTTATTTTTTAGAGTTGGGTTTGACAAAACTCAACCTAACCCGACCCAGTCAGACCCAACTCCCTGGGTATTCGCGGGTTCATGGGCACCCACGAGTTTTTGTGGTAAAAAATTTACAATAACAAATTCCTATAAAAATAAAATTCAAACATCAATTTTCCCATACAAATTATCTATACATAAAACATCAGTCTAGAAAATTCAAATAAATCACAATTACACTAAATAAAAGCATACGGAATAAACGTAGTGAGAGGTTGGGGAAATTAGAATTAGGGTAGGATTTGGGGAGAGTAGGGCGGCGAAATAAGTGTGGGCAGGTATCCCTAAACCCAAACCGAACTCGGTGAACAGTGTACGCGTTTAAACCCAAAACCGGCCTGAAGCCCGTTAATGCGGGTTTTACTAGCATTGACCGGGTTGGGTCGGGTAGGGTACCCGTGGGTTCGGGTTTTATTGCCATCCTACGGCTAAACGAAATTAGACACGATTAATCGACATGGGGTCTAGTGATGGCGATGGGGCGGGGCCCTCAATACCCATGCTCTGCTCCCACGCTACTGCAGTTCGGGGCGGGTAATACCCGCGCCGATACGGTATGGGGCGGGTCGACCCACTCTTATATGTTATTTGAAAAAAATACACCCAAAATTTTGCATTTTACTATATGGCGGAGGGAAAACACTTTATGAATGGAAAATAGTGATAATAGAATGTGTAATTGAATCTAAATAGTTGAAAGATCAAGTCTAACTAGTTTAAGAAAGGGTTAATATTTTCGTATGGCCTGAACTTTGACCAAAATAAACATCCTGGCCAATCTTTTCGATCTATAACATTCTGGCCCGAACTATACACCAAAATAAACAATTTGGCCAAACCTGATGTTTGACCGTTAACTTGGACGGTCAAACGCGTTGACTAACGGTCAACACGCCACTGCCACGTCACTGCCAAGTCAGAAGATCTGATAAATATTTAATTTTTTTCATTTTTCATTTTTGGTTTAACTAAGGTATTAGATGATTTTTTTAATTTATAATAATTTAAAATTAGGGAATGTGTGGGAATTGTGAATTATTTTAAATATTTTATGCTGACTTGGCAGTGACATGGCGCGTTGACTAACGGTCAACGCGTTTGACCGTCCAAGTTAACGGTCAAAAGTCGGATCTGGCCAAATTGTTTATTTTGATGTATAGTTCGGGCCAGGATGTTATAGATCAAAAAGATTGGTCATGATGTTTATTTTGGTCAAAATTCAGGCCATACGAAAATATTAACCCTTTAAGAAATGTCAAAATATGAGAAATAAGAATAAATACTATAAGAAATTGAGATATAATGGGTCAAGAACGGGGCGGGTAGGATGGGGTAGGGCAGCGCGAGCCGGAAGTAGATACCCATGACCCACCCCATCGCGGGTCAGATCGGGTAATACCTGGCGGGCGGGTTAAATTGACATCACTAGTGGGGTCTGATTAATCAAAGTGAGGTGTGCTTTAGCGCATTGTTAGACAAATATTAAAAAATAATGGGTTAATTGTAAGGTTGGCCAATGGGTTTACTAAAAACGTTCACATTTGGTCACTGCAAATATTTAATTTCATTCGTGGTCACTAAATTTAGTTCAATCGTTCAAGTTTGGTCACTCTCTGTTAGTCTACGTTCATTTTTGCTGACGTGGCAGTCAACCTTCATAGTTGACCGTTAAATGAGTGACATGGCTATTAAAAAAATAATAAAATATAGAAATTTAATCTATAAAATTTCCACCTCATTACACATTCATTAAAGAATAAATTAAAAACCTAATTTCTTTTAATTGACCGAAATTCCCTTGGCTCGCAGCCGGCGGTCCTCCATCTCCCCTTGGCAATAGAGGCAGAAGCATATCCTTCTGCGTCGTTGACAACGCGATTTGGTGGCGAGATGCAACAGTCGAAGCCAGAAATCCAGCAAGATCCAACTTCTGCTCCATGCATGTTCATCGCCGGTGAGGAGAAGTGTTGGGTGGTGGCGTAGAATGGAGAGAGAAGGTTAGAGGCACTCGGTTTCAGAAAACCGATCAACCTATTGTATTTCATCGACGTCGGTGGGGTAATTTGGTACCTTCTCGGCGTCACCGAACCGACTATCAGCCCTACGCACCGCCACCTCTTTCATTCGTTCTCCCTATCGGACCCCTTCCTTCTGTAAAACCCACAAATCCTTCTCAATCAAACCTCTACTCCAGTGCGGCAACCACCACAAGCTCAATCAACACCTTGTACACTATGAGCGTCCCTCCTTTACCAGCATTGATGTTGCTGCTGCTATGATTGGGATAAACCTCCGTGGCGGCGGTGAATTTCAAGTCAAGTTCATCGTTGCCGAGATGAAACTATGTTGCTCTTCTTCCGGAAGTAGGACCACCCGATCGACAAAACCTAAAATGGGGTTTTTAGGAGCTATCCCTCCCAATCAACGAACTTTTCTCAATCCCCGCACAATCAACAGACCCTAACATTAGATCCGCTGCTCTATCTCTTACAATTGTCGTCGTCTCCCTCCAGAGCTGCAGTGGCTCCGACTTCTACTTCTTATCCTGCTCAACTACAATGACTTCTTTCAAATCAACATAAGTTGGGCCTTCAATAGTTGAATAGGAACCCACAACTATCGTTTTCGGTGGCGTTTCGTTGTATCTTCAATAAAGGACCCAGATTTGTCAAAATTGAAAGACTGGGGTGGGGCAGCGACGAGGGTAACACAACCGACAGAGGAGGTGGCGAGGGTAGCCGCTATCATGGTCGATCAACAAAACTAAACAATCCAGGTAAGGTCAGTATAACTTGTGGGAATCATCAATTGCAAATTCAGCCTCCAACCCCCCCCCCCCCCACACACACACCCATCAAACAGTTTATGGCAAAGGATTCACCGTATTTCATGGTGCAGGCAATGCAGTATGATTGGTCACAGTCCTTTGAGTTGAAGGAATCGCGAAGTCGCTCTCTATCGAAGCAGATCTTGCGCGCAAAAATTGGCCACCGCGACGTCTTGGAACTTGGACAAGAGTATCGACAGAGAAGCCGATGCTGGGAACTATCGCCGGCAGGGGTTTAGAAAGAGGAGATGAAAGAGACGATGGTGTAGTGACACGCCAAAACACAACACCAAACTGCGACCAAGTGTAATCGCAGTCCGGGAATGTAGTAACAGGCAAGTTCTATTATCAACCCGGGGTCTAGATCTACTGCTTAATCCGTGATTATCTATTATCTAGCCAACTAAGTCGAGTGATTGTTGTTTAAAATAAAAGCAGTAAAAAGCAGGAAATGGTTCGGTTTTCTCAAGCAAAGAAGAGTCACTCGGGAAATGAGTCCCCCTAGCTCCTTAGTTAGGTTTCAATTGTAATTTCCCTGGGTTGATTTACTGTTGATTAAACTGCGGAAGATCCGACAGTAGCTTAGAATCTCTTAAGCTGACCAAGCCCTCTCAGTCTAACTACCCGGCAGACGACTAGTCTTCACCGGATTAGAAAGCTGAGGCTATGAACACAGAACTCCACTACTGGAATTAGATTCTAGTACAAAGCAGTAAACTGACTAACTCTCGTATAGCCAATGTCCTACTACCGAATGATGTAGCTCTAACAACCTAATCAGATTCTATCTATCTCAGGTTGCAGCAGAAAATCAAGAAAAGCTGATCAGACTTCAATCAATTCAATAAAACATGCATCATTCGATTAAAACCAAACAGTATAATCATCCCAATTCATTACAATCAAATCCCTAACACATGGAACTAGGGTTCTTCATACCCAAGTAAGAGAAGGGTTCTACTCCATAGAGAGAGAGAGGAAAACAGAAATCAGAGTAGTCATACTCATAAAGATGAGGAAAATCTGCTCTGGGGTGATGATTTCCACTCCTATGACGATCTCCAAGCTCGATTTGATGAAACCCAGCTCCAAGATAGCTTATAGGATGTGTTCTTCGCACTTTCTCTCTCTAGGGCTCTGTTTTTTGCTCTGAAAATCCGATTCTCTCACTTGTGGCTCGGAATTGGGTAAAAACCAAGATTTCCCGACTCACACGGGCATGCCACACGGCCGTGTGGCTCACCTAGTTGCCCGTGTGGCTTCAAAACGTTGCGTATCGATTAGTCGAATTTCAGGCTTCCCACACGGTCAGGGTCACACGGCCGTGTGGAAATTCTGCTCTGCCCGTGTTTGCTCTCGGCACAAGCCACACGGCCACAAGCATGACTTGCACGGCCGTGTGGTGTCCAGGAATGCCCGTGTGGCTTCCTCAGCACCTTGCCACGCGTCCGATCTTCGTCCAATCGCCCCCAAACTCGCTCCAAAGCCTTCATTCACGTACTAGGACCTGAAATATCACAAACAAGCACAACCTAGCGTGAGATCGGCCTAAAACGCGAGAATCCACATCTCAAACGGTGTAAGAATAGGGGTAAAAACATGTGCAATTAACGGTCTATCAAACTCCCCCACACTTAACCGTTTGCTTGTCCCCAAGCGAACCAAGTCAGACACAAGGTACGCTAACATTTTCAATCATACCAACATTGGGGACAAGTCATAAAGGCACAGAACACGGGAATCGCACTGATTTTCAACATCAACACATGAGCAACTTTTAGACAACCTGAACAACCACCACAGAGGACATTTGAGTGCAGCAAAATCGAGTAAAGGAAGAGTCTCCCTTCTGTTCACCAACCAACCTAGACTTGACTCAACCACTTACTCAAAACAGTCACCTCATGCATCCCACTCAAGACATCAGAATAGAGACCGAGCAATCTAGGTCCTCACCGGGGTACAAGAGTATATAGAATATGAAAATGAATCACTCACTCTCGATCAGTGGGGTCAGGACAATTTGATGCGAAAAATGCGCATGCTATTTCTCTCAATCCCTAACATCTCTTCACCATGATGGCAGCCTCTAAATGTTAGAGTTCACATATGGGGTGTCACCATTA